TCTCTGTCTGTCTGTCTGTCTCTCTCTCTCACTCTCTGTCTGTCTGTCTGTCTGTCCATCTCTCTGTCTGTCTTTCTCTCTCTCTCTTTTTCTTTGTCTGACTGTCTCTCTCTCTCTCTCTTTTTGTCTGTCTGTCTGTCTGTCTGTCTATCTCTCTCTCTCTGTCTGTCTGTCTGGCTGTCTCTGTCTCTCTCTCTCTCTCTCTTTTTGTCTGTCTGTCTGTCTGTCAATCTATCTCTCTCTCTCTGTCTGTCTGTCTGGCTGTCTCTGTCTCTCTCTCTCTCTCTCTTTTTGTCTGTCTGTCTGTCTCTCTCTTTGTCTCACTGTCTCTCTCTCTATGTATGTAGCAGGTTAAATACAAGAAAGTAACTGTATTTGGATTATTAATTGTACTCTAACTCAACACTGCCCCCAGAAATGTATGTAACTGTGTCTGTTGTGAGACAAACACGGACCACATGTATGATTCATGTTAACGTGTCCCACCCTCATCGTCATGGTGAGGTGGGAGGGTTCGGCAGGTACCAGTGGCTCCATGTCACGCTCATCAGTCTACCTGGTTTGTTGATGGCGAGTCAGAACCTGCTCAACAACTTTGTCTCTGGAATCCCCGCCCACCACTGCACCCTGCCGGCCAATCACAGCTTCTCTAACCTGTCTCACTACCAGGTAACCTGTCTCACCACCAAGTCACCTGTCTCCCCACTAGGTCACCTGATAGATGTGATGAATGTGATTGGTTGTTTCAGGTGGACGAGAAGCAGCTGCTCAAGGTTTTCATTCCTCTGGACTCCTCTGGAAATAGACTGGACCGCTGCAGGAGGTGACAACCTGAACCATTCCCTGACATTTTTTAATCCCCATACAGTGCACACATTGTTTCCCATAATGCATCATGACAAGTAGTTTACAACCGATGGTCACTAACTGAGCAATATATATATTTTATTCATATGCTACCCTCGCTGCGTTGACAGGAGTTAAATGGTAGAGAGGAGAGAGGGCAGCAGCTCGACCTTGAGACAAATCTGTCGTTAGGTTGGAATATGTCACAAGTTCATTAAAAATTCATTGGGAGATTTTCCACCGGTCAATGATGTCATAAAAAAGAAAATTTCAGTCCAGGAGTTACAGAGAAAGTAACACGAGGAGTTTTTTTCTTTTACTGATGAACTCAGTTTTTTTTTTAATTTATTGCAAAATAAAAAAATTTCAAGCAACAAAGACTTTTACTCCTCGCAGCATCAGAGACGAGAACAATGATCCCACAGCTTTTTATTTTTTTGTTGCAGATGAAATGAATCTTAAGGGAATCCTAAGAACAATGAACAAAGTTGATTGAGAACTTTGTTTCGCTGAAAATTTAATGAAATTAAACCACGAGTGACCACGAGTAAGTCGAATGCCCCTAACGACATCACTTCCTGTTCCTTATACCTGCCCAGGTTTGTGGAGCCGCAGTGGCAGCTGTTAGCCACTAACAACTCAGCTAATGTTAGCCAGCTACAGACAGAAGAATGTGTGGATGGTTGGACATTCGACCGCTCCGAGTTCCTCGCAACCACTGTCTCTGAGGTAATTTATCTTTGACGTCTCTCTGTCCCTGTCTGTCGGAACCTGTCTGTTTCGCTGAACCAGTCTGTCTGAACCTGTCTGTGTCTCAGTGGGACCTGGTGTGTTCGTTGCGTCCTCTGAAGCAGATGATTCAGACCATCTATATGGGCGGAGTTTTGGCGGGAGCCATCATCTACGGCAGTCTGTCAGACAGGTGGGATTCACCTGTTAAAACATGAACCTGTCTCACGTACCTGTGTGTCTGTCAGTAAGAATCTGTCTGTCTCTCTGTCTCTCAGGTTTGGGCGGCGATCTGTCCTCATTTGGTCGTACCTGCAGCTGGGAGTGCTGGGCAGTAGCGCCGCCCTCTCTCCCTCATACACTGCCTACTGTATTTTTAGGTTTCTGAGCGGGATGGCGGTGTCCGGCATCATCCTCAATGGAGTCTCACTGAGTACCTGTCTATCTCTCTACCTGTCTGTCTGTCTATCTTCATACCTGTCTGTCCTCGTCTTTCTGATGATGTGATCATCTGTGTGTGCGTGTTTGTGTGTGTGTCCTTTAGAGGTGGAGTGGATTCCGACCAAAGAGAGAACACTGGTTGGGACGCTCACGTCATTCTTCTTCACCTTTGGTCAAATGGTCTTGGCGGGACTCGCTGATTGGTTAAGAGACTGGAGGAAGCTGCAGGTCGTCGTCTGTGTGCCATACTTTCTATTCTTCGCCTACAGTTGGTCAGTGGAGAATTTCTGCTCTCTGATTGGTCAGGTGGTTCTTACATGTCTGCTCTCTGATTGGTCAAGTGGTTCTTACATGTCTGCTCTCGGATTGGTCAGGTGGTTCTCAGAGTCAGCCCGTTGGTTGGTTATGAACCGGCAGTCTGAGAAGGCGTTGAAGAATTTACACCGAGTCGCTCGAATTAATGGAAAACCAGAGATGATTGACAAGTTAACGCTGGAGGTACCTGTCTGTCTGTCACATGTAACATATTATCAATGTGTATGATCACATCTGCAGCTGTCATCAGTACCATGTGACCTGCAGGTTATGAACTCACACATGATCAAAGAGATGGAGTCAAGTCGTTCGACGTTTACAGCGTACGACCTCCTGAAAACGAAAGCGATGAGACGCATCTCCGTCTGTCTGATGGCTGTCTGGTAAGTCACCTCCGCTCACCCGACTCACCAGAAATCACCAGTACTCAGCAGTACTTACCTGTACACACCTGACTCACCTGAAATCCCCTGACTCATGTGTCATCACATGTTCTCACCTGTACTCAAATAATGTTCATATTCGGCTTCTTTGTTAAATTACACTATATTCATTTTCATTCAGAGCTTACCATTAGTTGTAGAGCCACCAGTTTCACATCTTTTGAACTTTATGCATGTGTACGTCCAGAACGGGGACTGGGCTCTCCGGCTCTGCAGGTCGATGATATTGAACAGAAACCTTAGGAGTGCTTTTATTTTGAAAACGGGTACTGGAAGTGTTGCAAACATTTACCTTCGGGACATATTGGACAGACAATAAAGATATGTCTTAAGAATTATTGAACAGAGCATTAACACTGTGGTGGAAGATCTATGTTTATTCTGCTGAGCACAGCGTGCAGAATAAGAACAGCGAGACCTCTGTTCTCTAGAAGAGCGGCTGAGCAGCATATATGAGCTGCAGCCGCCGCTGTCTCAGCTCTAATCTGTTAACATGGGCACAGAAATGTAAACCAAGCTGGACACAGGTCCAGTGTGCAACTCACCTGCACTTACCTGAACTCACCTGATACCTGACCTGTTACTTATCTGTTATCTACTATCGGTCTGCCAATTGTCTGTCTTTTAGGTTCTCCACGAGTTTTGCATACTATGGTTTGGCGATGGACCTGCAGAAGTTCGGGGTGAGTCTCTTGACACCTTTAGGGGCGTGGTTACCATCGTAATGTGGGGTTGACAATGTGTTGCATTTATAAAGAACCCTTCCTCTCCTCCTATTGGCTGCTTATACTGTGCTGGGCCTCCATTGGTTGTTTACTGGTTTCAGGTAAATATCTACCTGATGCAAATCATCTTTGGAGCCGTCGATTTTCCTGCCAAATTGTTGGCTCTGGGCATGCTCAGTTACTTCGGGAGGCGGGTCTCTCAGGCCGTCTGTCTCTTCCTATCAGCTGCCGTCATCTTCGCCAACATGTTTGTCCCCACAGGTGACGAGAACACACAAACACACACACACACGTATACAAACACACAGACATGCAGACACACACACACACACACACACACACACACACATAAAACACAAAACCCTCATAAGAAGACTGTTTTACCCCCCCACAGACATGCAGGTAGTCAGGACAACCTTTGCGTGTCTTGGTAAAGGCTTCACCTCTGCGTCGTTCACCACCGCCTACCTGTACAGTGGCGAGCTCTACCCCACTGTCATCAGGTGAGACACAAAACACAGACACTGCCCTTGAGCAAAGTATGTTTCAGAGAGAGGAGCTGCAGGTTCCAATCCTGACACACTGACAACCGCTGCTAAAGCAGTGTTTGTTTTTATGTGTGTTTGTGTTTTCAGGCAGACAGGAATGGGTTTCGTCTCCACCATGGCGAGAGTCGGCAGCATGGCGGCGCCCGCAGTTCTCATTCTGGACGAGGTGACATCACAGAAAAATATTGTTTCTCCAAAATTCTCACATCCTGAATCCATCAATCAATACTTTTATGACTCAAATGTGATTAAAATTCCACGAAATACATTCACGGTCCGACTTCATACATTTTAACATAGACTGTCGAAGGTTTCATAAAGAACAATGGGATGTTAACTAATATAGAAGTTAACATGTTTGACAGGTGTAGGAGCCTAGGTCCTATTTGAGTTCATTAATGTTTGAATAATAATTTAAGTTCATGTATTAAAATATATTTGTGTTGATTGTGGTAAAAATCTAGCTATTTACATTATTTACAGTTAGATAATTCATATTGATAAGTTCATTTGACTTGACTTGAAATGTGTATGGATATTTGCAGGTTTAGAAATTGCATATAGCACCTTTAATGCGGATTGATCAGTGTCGGTGGTTAAGCTGAGTGGGCAGTCACGTCAGGCATCATGGAGCGGAGCCATATAGTTATTTGACCTCATTCGTTCACTCTTTTTATTTGTCTTTCTCTCGCTCATTTTTGTGTATCGTCATGCTGGACTGTTGTATCTTGCTTTATTTTTTGAAGTAAATTAAGAAAACTAACGAGAGGATTTTGTGGAGTTTTTCCTTTGAGTTCGAGGTGGATAACGAGGGTGAGAGCGTCAAGCTCATGGCTTCATTGTTAAGGAACCTACAACAGGTTTACACAGAGACACACTTTTATAGAACTGAGGTCATATTACTGACAGCACCAATGACTACATTTCCCAGGTATTCCCTGCTCTACCCAGTGTGGTGTATGGGGGAGCGGCAGTGTTGGCTGGAGGCTTTGCTTGTTTTCTGCCAGAGACTCTGAACATCCCGCTGCCAGACACCATCCAAGATGTGGAGGAGAACTGGTAAGCTAATGACTAACAGTTAGCCTTACTCTGCATGTTAGCTTCAATAGCTTAAATGCAGTGTTAACTGCTCAGCAGCATTAGCTTTATTAACATTCCCCAATGATATATCCTAAACCAGAATGATAGTTTTATTTGGCACCAACCTGATCAATAACAACATATCAGAAATAATAATGTTTGTCTTTATAGGTCTGGAAGAAGCCCTGCAACTCGACAGAAAGAGGGCGTGTCCTTACGAGAAGGCATGATCTCTGAAGACCTCATTAAATCCTGTGGGGGCATGGTCTCAAAGGAGGGTGTGACTTTAAAAGAGCGAAAGGAAACAGAAGGAACCGGCCTCAATGCACTCTGACCAATCCGATGCTGCCACATCACATAATCAGAACAGGAGGGAAGAGTAGGGAGCACTCTGCTCCTGTAACCATAGAGATGTCAATCAGAGAGTATTACAGTTTTCACCATGGTTACTGTAGACATCCACAGCTGGTCCAGAATTTCCTTTTGTGTCTTTTTTTTTCTTAAATTAAGGGGACATTAACAATGATAATAGGAAATCAACAACAACTGAGATGGAAAGTTGCTGCTGATTTTTTTTCATAAATATTTGAAAGTTTTTATTAAACTGGTAATGAACTTTCAATTTCTGATATTCCCATGGTGATGTGATGACACAAAGACACTGATGCTGTTGAAACTATTACTACGGCAACCACAAACCTCGACTTCACTTCCTCATACCTGGACTCAACCCTGACCAATCAGATAGAAGGACTGAATCTTAACCAATCACGAAGCTGTAATCATAATGATGAACCAGTGATGAAGGAGGAGAGTTCAGAATAATCATGTGATCAGTCAGACGATTATTGATTAGATCTATATGATGTTGCCAGAGCATTGCGATAATACAATGTAAAAAGTGTAATATGGCAATATTAATACTGATGAATCAATAGTATATGTATGAGGCTGTAACACATTAATAAAACTGATTATTATTAATCTGATTGTTGTTGTTTTTGCTTTGAAATGAAATAAAGTTTATGGTGAAGGTCAGGGGTTATTTTCATTGTGCTGAACCACAGATATTAATTTACATTGGAGTCAAACGTGTGCTTTTGTGTTGAAGTTTTGAATTAATGATTTGTTTTCACATCCAACCTTTTCAGACTCTGACCCTGGAACACTTGCTTATTCCCCTATCACACACTTTATGTTGTAATGATGTTATCATAACATC